ACCCCTTGGACCTCTATGGCTGCCTTGTGACAAACCCCAGTAATTTGTTGCTTTCTCCCATCAGCCGTCTCTATCTCGAATAGGTATGACCTATCGAGGCCCAGTCCAACTTGTACCGCCAGGTCCTCGTCTATGATGACAGCCTCACTGCCGTTCTCAATCACAGCATCGAGTACCGCTCCATCGTTTATAATCGTCTCTACGGCTCCGCTATCAAGTATATAAAACTTGTCTAGGGGCACACCTTCCATTCCATCAAGAAGGACTGTCGCCATGCGATCCGCTCTGGCGCTCTGGCGGTCACTCCCGTTACTGCTACTATAGAAGCTTCCGCCTTAGGGGTCCCCTGACCCTCCTCCGATAGAGGTATGCGGGTCTTCCTCGTGATCATCTGTAACTCATCACGAGCTGGCTTCGATGCCGCCAGGTACTCCAGAATAGAGCACTGCATGGGTTGCCGAAGGGCCCGCCTCAGTGGCTCGACCGTGTCAATCTCGTCCAGCGAACTCTTCATTAAGAACTTCTTGACTCCCCGCTTTCGCGGCGAAAGGATAACCTCCTCTCCATCGCCCCGCTGCCCGTCCTTCTCCGCCATCACGTAATCCGTGTCAGTTTTCTTTGATGAAGACCCTCTCGCCGACTTGGTGGCCGCCACCCTTATGGGTGTGGTCGCCATATCCCCCTCAAAGGTTATCTTGATGCTCTAACTTCTGACCGGCTCCATTCCTTTGCTCGTCCTTATTCTCCTTGCTTCGACATTCTCCTTCATCGAAGGGAACATCGATACATCTCCGAGATCATCTGCCCACTTGACGTACTTGCGGTCGTCAAGCACGACAAGTCCCTCTTCTATTGCCCGTTTGAGGTCCGGACAATCCCTCTTGATATGATTTTCCCCTCTACAATAGACGCATGAGTTTCTGGGAGTAGACGCCCTGTCATCTGCGCCTTTAAACATCGAATTCCTGGCCGCGTTGGGGTCAGGCGACTTTGGATATGGTTCTGATGAGACACCATATCCCCCTCTCTCATTCCGACCGCGCAAATCGTTGCGCCGGTCTCCTCCAGACCGTCCTTGGTCATATCGCCCTCGCGAATCATCCCGGCGGTCCCCCGAGTTATATCGTCCTCGTGACTCATCGCGTCGGTCCCCTTGGTTGTACCATCCTCGCGTCTCGTCGCGCTGCTCTCTCGCTTCTCCCCCGCGCTCAAACCGTCCACGTGACCCTTCTTGTCGTTCCCAGTCCCTATCTCCTCTCTCATATCTACTTCCTCTGTAGCCATCTCGACCCGACCTCTCATATCTGTCGTTCCTATATCCGTCCCGGTCCGATCTCTCGTATCTGCCGTCCCTCTCCCATCGGCCGCGGGAGTCGCCTCTACCCCGATCGGCCTCACAGTGAGGGCTTCGGGGGTAATCATCTAGCCTCCTTGTTCGCACAAACAGCTCGCGATCTCTGCGGTCTCGGTCTATCTCATCGTCCCTGCGTCGCCATAATTCATCGTCTCTCTCTCTCMCCCTCGTACGATAATCAATCAGTGTCCGAGGATTTCTATCCTCGACACTCCTCCAGGGATCGTTGTTCCTACGGTCCCAGCGAAGTGAATAGGGCCCTCCAGGTTTGTCCCGGAAGGCCGTGGCCCCTGTAGCGGTCACAATCTCTGTAACCTGTCTTGTTAATATATTCACCATGTCCCGTATCTCCTTCACTTCCTCAGCCACGGCCTCATTCTTCTCCGACCAGGGATAGTCCTTGAAACCTGGACATCTATCAGTGGCATACTCCTTGTAGAGAGAGAAGTCGCGTCTCCTCATCCCTTTCCACACCAAGTCCTTGTAATCGTCTGCCTCTGCCTTTATCGCGAGCTTTAGAACTTCTGGGAAATCAAGCCTGTCGCGCGGAAGATCTCTAAGAATACTTTTTTGCCTACCTTTAAACAAGTGTCCGATGAAGATAGTACAGTGCTCGACCTCTGATATCTTCCCCTTCTTCATCAGCACGTCGGAGATCTTTTGGAAACGCATCCGAAATGCTCGTACGCTCTCATCTTCATCTTGAGTCATTGTTTCAAGTTCCTTGATGGAATACTTGTTATCCTCCAATTTGTAAAGCTCAACGAGGTTCTTCTTGTACGTCGCCCATTTGCCATCCTTCGGTCGAGCTTCCTTAACTTCCCTACCGAGACTTGGGTCCACATTAAATAGGAAGTTCTCTATAATCTCTTCCTCCGACCACTGACTCCGGCTGGCGTNTCGAGCTTCCTTAACTTCCCTACCGAGACTTGGGTCCACATTAAATAGGAAGTTCTCTATAATCTCTTCCTCCGACCACTGACTCCGGCTGGCGTGAAGCTCCCACTTCTCAAAATATTCTATGATACCATAGTCCCTGAAGGTAGGAGGCTCTGAGACCTTGTGCGTAATAATATAGCGGTCCTTGCTTTCATAAGGGAGCGGATGTGACTCCCCTGTCTGGGGGTCGAAGACTCGCCTGGGCGGAGCCCTGTCTCTATCTTTGTCCCTCCAAAAGGAATCCCTCAAATTCTCTCTCCAGTCGTCTCTGTACCTGTCCGCTATGGTGTCCCTCCGCTCGTACTCGGGGGAGCGCCGCCTTGTCGTTTCTCGTCGTCCGCTCGAGGTACCCGTCTTTAGAGCCTCCTGCGGCTCTGTTGCAACTGGTTCGCCTCTTACGTCGGGCCCTCCGTCATTGGTTTGGCCAGCCCATCTCAACGGTGCTTCTTGCCTAATTGGTTTCTTCAGTTCTCTCAGAGCTCGGTCGGGCGATGTCCTATACTCCTCTCCCGCTTCGCCCATGGTCGGTTGTGGCCCCATCGTGTCGGGTTCCATTGGATCGCCTGAAGATGCAGTTAGGTTTTTTAGCCACCTGTTACAGCCCGACCCTATGACAGTCGCGGCCCGGACCTGTGTCAGTCGCGACAGCCTGGACCTGTGACAGTCGCAGCAGCCCGGATCTGTTTCTTTGTCACGACTCACGTCCGCCTCCAATCTTAGCCCTTGATTGCCTTGATTACCACTTCCAATGTCCCATTCCGATCGCAGATCTCGTGTCCTCCCTCTGTATCCCAAGAATCCCTGTGTCTAAGTAAACCTCTCCTTCGGGATCGGTCAACAAGGCCGTGCCTGTCCGCATCCACAGTACGCCCGTGGCAGGACCTCTATCCTTGAGACAGATTGCAATCCTAAACCTAGCCAATGTTTCCTGATCAACACTTCTCAAGAATCCCTGAACGTCTCTCTCCGTCCTCCTTGCTAGTTCTCCTAGCTCAGTCTCAATCGGTTAGCCCGCTAAAGGTCCTCCTACTGTCGCCCAATGTCGCCTATCGACCTTTCTAGCTTCCACTATCTTTCCAAGAGCTCCCAATTTCTATTTCAACTACCTTATCTCCTCATCAGTTAGGAGGTCATCTCTTAACACCTGAGATAAGTTAGTGTTATAACGACCTGTAGCCTCATTGCCGACCGCTCCAATATGTCATAAAATGTCTCAAAGTCCTCACTATCTCCCCCTTCGTCTATCACCTCTAAAGTCTTCATCGCTTCCTTGCAGTATCGGTTGTGAGCGGCTAACACCCTGAGTATTGCACCATCTGTTACTACTCTCCCTAACTCTCCAGCTTTCGTGGCTTCGTTTATCTTCAACCTTTCAGCCTCTCGGGTCGTCTCGTACCATGCCCTTATCCGAGACCGACCTTCCAAATGTGTCACTTGGAGTACGTATTTTATCCTCCGTCCTCCTTCTATTCCAATCCAAAGTCCTGTTCCCCTACCCTCACGCAGCGCGCGGCGGACACACTCTGCCTCCTCAACTATGCACAGTCTGGTATGGAGCTGGAGTTCTATGATCACTAACACTAATGGTCCGTCCAGTCTCTCTACCACATGCAGTGAGTACCGATCCGTCGTGTGTACTGCTGTCCCACTCATGTCCTGTCGCTACTTCCCTGCGTTACTTTGTTTTTCGTTGTCTCGCTCTCTGCAGGGCGCTCTCTAGTTTCTTCACGTGATACACTTCTAGCTTTTACCCTCTCCAAAAAATCTCATCTCCACGCCTGGACAATCTCTCTTTCCTCCCTAAACAGACTCTCTAACTCTCTCGTCGCGAGTTCAGCCCTACGCAACTGGCCCTCGTCTTGACACGACCAGATCTCCCTTAACTTGTCCTCCAACTTCTTTACCTGGTTCAAGAGTGGTTCTTTAACGCGCTTTCTCACTCTTCCGACTGCCTCACTCTCCTCTTCCATACTCGGTCCACATCTTTCTCCAGCTCATCCTCTCATCCTCGCTCCAGCCTCCTCTACCGTCTCATCGTGGTAGTGCTCCTCGCGCATATAACCATGAGACCATATCATCACATCATAAGTAATCGAGGTCTGGAAGGTCACTCGCGCCAGTACATCAGCTCTACGCTCGTGGATCAAATCCCTAGCTCGTTGTCTGCACTCACTCGCCGTCAAGTCCTCGTCTAAGTGCGCTCGGAGAAGTACTGTCACAGTGTATCCCGTGCTCACCAGTTGCTCTTCTACACGCATCACCGTGGCCGTCCTTCCCGGCATTCCCTAAGCTGCGACCTCGAAGAGAATTTTCGCGTCCTCTAGCCCCGCGTAATCGATCTCTGCCCGTCTTCTGCAGTACCTAATCAGATCGATAGGTCTCAGACAGTCCACCCAGCTCGTAACATCTATAATGTCGTCAAGTGTCTCTCTACTGGGCGGCCCCCACCTCACACAAATGGCGTAGTATACTTCCTTGAAGCGGGGCGCTAGGCCCTCCCAGAGCGCGTAAAGTGTATGATCCACCGCTCTCCTCAAACGATCCACGCTGCCATAGGTCTGCCCTATAACGAAGGTAGGAACTCCGAATCGCCAATCCTTTCTCGGGTAGAGGGTCGGATGTGGTGGACCGTATACCAAGCAGCTCCTGCTCGTCCTCCCTCCAGCGAGTCTCGCCAATTGCTGATTAACGATCACTCTGGCCAAAAACTCGCTTCTCCACCAACTCCTGCTCGCCCCTGCGAGTGTTAGCCCTATCTCTAAATCGTATGTTCTATCCGCTATTAGATGTCCGACCCCTTCTAGATCATGAGTCCTCTCGGGTCGTTCGTCTCGTAGTATCACTGTCCATAGGAAGAGCCCCTCWGCRAGCCACGTTCCCAAGTATCGTATCGGTACACGCCCTGCCTCTTCTAACGCCACAGGAAGTGGTATGTCGTATCCAACCGCCGTCTCTCTGGATCCCACAAGCTTCCTCACACTATACGATTCGGACTCAAGTGAGAAAACATAAGCTAACCAGGCCGCTGAATCACTCCTCATTTCCTCTTCTACTCTCGGTCAGCATCACTCTACTCCCTCCGACACACCCCATCTCTCGACGCCTTTTGACAACTCTCGCACTCAGGTCCAGTATGATCGAATAGGTTCAGTAACCAGACTCACTCGTCCGTCGCTCTGCCGCTCTTCTATCTCCTACGCCCTGACCGCTACTCCTATCCTTGGAAAATGGGCGTCTATAACGTCAATCTCCTCCTTGTCAACCTCACTCTCTGGGTCGACCCAGTCAGGCTCCCACAGCTCCTCGTCGTCCTCTCGCTCCCAACCCTCGTCGTCAAACTCGTCCTCGACGCGGTATGGCGCCTGTCCTATGGCCTGGTAGTATTCCGTCAACTGATGCCCGTATACCAGGGGTCGCCCAGCGTCCTCACTCCACCAGCTCCCCCAGTCGTCTGAGAATAGCCGCCCGATGCAGGTCACGTACTCGGGGCCTGCTCGGAGCTCACGGTCCAGCCAATCCCAAACGGAGACTGGGGTCACTCGTCATTTATCGAGCGGATCATCTCTATAAGCTGAACCCTCTCGTCTCCCCAACGAGGTCCACCAGTCGCAAGCGAATAATAGATATAGTCGAGGTTGGCAGGTCTTCTCGCCAGGATCTTGAGATCCTGATAAGCCAGGTATGTCTCGACACCTCCACCAACACCTCCAAAGACGCTCTCTATTACGAACGTCGGAACTATCGCCCGCAGGCTCCTAACGCTGTACGGGAAAGACCCGTCCCGTGCTATTACGAGCTCGCCCGTGATATCTAGAGGAGGGCGTCCGTGAAATAGCGTCAACGGGTCGCTCGCGTCCTCCGCTCGGAAAACAGCTACCTGCTCCCCTAGGTAGCGTAGCGCCCTCCTAACTGCGTCACTACTCCCTGTCGTCGCGAGGCTCACCACGGCCTCCCTGACCGCACCCGGCCACAAATATAAGTAGGCTCTCACCACGCCCACTCCTTGCCCCGGCCGGTGCTCTCTGTACGTCCAAAGCCACACGTCCTCGGACAAGAATAAGGACTTCCATGCAAACTGGCCGTCAGCGTGTCGAATGCTGCGTCCGGGGATCGTGAGCTCGACCAGATCCCCCTTTATGAGTTCAGGGGGCTCTAAGTCCCAATCAATGGTAGCCCCATAGACCTCTACTTGCCCTCGCGGCTACATTCAACTGGCGGCTAGAGAGAGCGCGGCAAGCGGAAGGTGTAGATTAACGACTGAAATTTCACGTCGCTTTTCTAACGGCTTCGAGAACAAGCTAGTAGGTTCACCCGAAACCGGGTTACCGCAACGTCTCTTTCCTTTCTCCTTCTAGGGAATTCTTTTTTTTTTTTTTTTTTTTTTAATTATAAATTAAAGAAAATATATTTAGTTAAGTTAAATTTTCTTTCTTATTCCATATATATTAAGGATCAATACTTATATAAGCCCTGTCGAGTTTGATGCTTTTAGGGGTAGAAATGAAATTTCGGGATTTTACTAAAATTTCGGCAGCGTTTCGCTTCCCCCCCGTTGGGATGGGGTTCGGGACTATTGTCTCTAGACAAATGCTACCTACCCAGAACTAAAGCCAAATGAAACAAGAGGAAAATCGCTTAAGGAAACAAATATTTAACGTATTTTTTTAAATTAATTTTCCTAATCGCTTTCAATATATATATATATATATATATATATATATATATATAAAAAGGAATTAAACTAGGCAATTTTGCGAAGTTTCGGCTACATTTTGGCTCCCCCCCCGTTGGGGTAGGGTTTGGCCGAAGACCTCAAAGATGCGGTCGAAAGATGTTTAACAAGAAATTTTCAGCTAATTTTTAAGTATTTTCCTTAATTATTTAAGATTTAATTGAATAAAATTCAGCAAATTGCCGAGTAACTTCGGCAGCACTTGGCTCGCCCCTGTTGGGATGGGGTTGAGCGAAGTATCACCCGAATCACAAAGTCGAAATAAAGTCGACTCCCCTTTCTTGTAGAATTTTAGATAATTATCTTGATTTTAAATTGATTTTAAATGACAAATTATTACTTATAACAAATTTACAACTTCAATTATTTAATAAAACAAAATTCCCAATATTGATTAATTTCAATTTGGTCAACTGGATTTATACAAATTTTTTTCATCACCGGTCGGATAGAAAGACTTGTGTCCGCCCGGCTACGCACCGCCCTTCCCTAACTTAGGGTTAGGGTTTTACCCTAATTAGGGTTTCCCCCAATTAGGGTTTTAGGGTTTTACGCGTCACCGCACGCCACCGCGTACAACTTCTCGAGACATAAAATTTTCCGTCGGTTTGTAGTCAATTAAAAGCCAGGTTCCTTCGGATCACTTTTGCCGCAGACTTCTGTTTCCGTTTTATTTTTATAAAAAAAAACAAAGAAAATCACTATTTCCTTTTAATTTTTTCCTCTTTTCCTGTCTGTTGGCGGTCACTACTCGTCCAAACGAAGTCCGTTTCCCCCGACTATGGTCTCAAAATGTCGGGAAAAATACAAGGACCAACTTTGGTCTAATCAGAGTTTTCCTAATTTCGCTCCGTTTC